AATATATGCAAATATTTACTGTGAAGCAAAGAATGAGTTAGCGGTGTGAGAAGTGGAGGAACATAAAAGTTTCGTTGACATAGCAGTGAACTTTACAAGCAAATTCAAATAATTTTCGTGATGAACTNTGAACAAAGATTCTTTCAAAAATCATGACAAACAAGTTCTAATTTATCAGCATAGGTCTTTAATTTATTTCTATATTTATATTATCCATCCAATCATCATCCACTCACTCATTTATTCATTCATTCATCCAAAAATATCTCAACCAACCAACCGACCAACCAAACAACCAACCGACCGACCAACCAACCAACCAACTAAATAGGTGATCACTTTGTTACCAGCATAGGTGTTGATTTCCTGAATCCAGTGAGGCAAGCAATCGAACGTCGGCTGACAGCTGATATCATAAACTAATATAAGGGCATTGGCCGATCTGTGTAAAGGATAATATAATTATCATGATAAATATCATTATAATTATTAATTATAATTAGATGAGAATAATAAAAGTATTATACTAGTTATAATTATAACACGACTCACACATATTACGATTAATGAAAAAGTTATATTAAGAACAAAATGATGAAATTTCCATAGAATAAAGACAAAATCTAAATTGGATTCCCAATAAGATTAAACTATGATGATAATATAATTAAATTAAGATCATATTATTAAGATATTATGATCATATTTAACTATGATGATAATATAATTAAATTAAGATCATATTATTAAGATATTATGATCATATTTAACTATGATTATAATATAATTAAATTAAGATCATATTATTAACATATTAAGATCATATTATTAACATATTATGATCATACTAAACTATGATCATAATATAATTAAATTAAGATCATATTATATTAAAATCATAATAATAAAAGTATATATTTTCATCGTGACCATAATAAATGGGATACCTATAATAGCTCTGTGTGATTGATCTGAACCTCTCTTGACCGGCAGTATCCCAAATTTGAAGCTTTTGTGGAATTATAAATATTTGTAAAAAAAAAAACAAAATTACTAAAAAATGAAAAATAGAAGATAAATTTCAAACATGGGCCCAATGTTGCTTTCTAGATTTGACTTTCCTTAAAATGTTGAGATAGCTGAAAGTAAACAGAAAGTTCACACACACGCACGCACGCACACACAAATATCTATAAATTTATATAAAAAATGCAGATTTTTAATAAGGACAAGATTATTAATAGTAGAATGTAGTACTATTCTCTGCCTATGTCAGAGTTTGATTTATATACAAAATGAAGAAATATGTGGTAGTCAAGGGAATGAAATTAAGCCAGTGTAAAATAATAAAACCTTGACTTTCTCCCTATCCATCTCTAATGACTTGACCATGAAATCCACCCCTATGGTAGCTCCCTGGCCTGGTGGGAATAGACCCTGGAGAAATAATTTATGCAAATTCATTATATTATTATTATATTTAGAAATTTAAAAATAAAGATTGCGGGAAAAAGAGATTGTCGTCAAAAATGAATCACATTCATTAAGTCCTTGTGTCACATGTTGAATATCACCATATTTCAATTACTACAAAGTGTTAAGGATCGGGTTTTGTGGAGGTCAATGGTCGCCAATGTCCTGAAAGGATAAGGCACGAGAAAGAAAAAAGATAGTAAATTAGAGATAAATTCATTATATAATTATTATTAAAATTATAAATAAATTCATTATATAATTATCATTATATTTATAAATATATAGATAGTATGGTATATAAAGTATATAAACAAGGGTTAACAAATTATTAAATAACTAATCTAATGTATATATATATATATAAATATATATATAAATATATATATATATATATATATATATATATATATATATATATATATATATGTTGGTAATAGACCATAATTTTTACAATATTCTATAAATTTTACCGAATGTTTGGCGTTAATGTTTGTAGTTCGTTTTTTCGATTCTTCTCACTAAAGTTTTTTGGTGTAAGTTTAGTTTATTAAAATTCAAAATAAACTTATTTTTCGAATTCATGCTGCAAATAAGGCCATATTTCGATTCCGAATGAATCATCGTCAGTGCTCCTTGTTGTATATATAGGGAAATATTGACTTTGTCAAGATTAACTTTGACGTTGTAAAAATTAACTTTGGTGTTGTAAAATTGAACTTTGATGCGAATTAGGTGTCAGGTTTCTTAATTGATTGGTCATCTTCTTTGGTCTCCTTTTCTTCATCCATAGCATCATATTCTTCTTTGTCACTATTTACGATGCTAGTTTTTA